CAACATTGTAAACTCGATCCTTGAGGGTAAATCTGATGTTGTGCCTTCGCCGCAGTTTATGCAGGCTCACAAAAGCTGCTCTGGTCTTTCTAATCCGGATGGAAATATCTTTCGCGAGGCCACCGGGACTGTCCAGGTAACCAAATTTGCCTACTACTCCAATCGGTTCATCCTCAAACATGAGACTAGGGTTCGAGCCCACTCAGTCTTGCAGTCGCGCTTTACACGTTGCAGGCGTGAAGCACATGCCCAACCGTGAGGCGGAATCATTTAGATTATTTAATCTTGTTTGCATTACCATGGGGTCAGATCTAAGAAGAGCTATGTCGTCTGCATACTCGATATCTGTGAGCGGACGCCCCGGGAGCGTTTCGACCCCACGTGCATGTAATTTAAACACAAGCATCGGAAGGTTTGCAATGTTTGTCAGAATTTGTAAGTTTAGGTGATAGCAGCGTACCACTTGTGAGTCATCAGTTGTTTACAACAACTACAGATCATGGATCCTAGATGCGTGAAGTATCTGACGAATGGATGGAGACTTGTCAACTCCAAAACAGTTTCTTCCTTGGTTAATTTACACCACAAGATCTTTTTCTTTAGCACAACCGGCGAATTTTTTAGAGAAATTGGACCGGTTCAGTAGCTTCATTTCTGCTACTCTGCATTAAACGAGTATGACGTCGTTCGTGAATCGGTGCACAAACAAGCCTATACGTAAGCGCATTGTAAGCGCCGTCATTATCCTTGCCCTTCAGACATCGGATTCATCGTTACCTAAGGAAGTCACACCTGGCATATTAAACATTCGAACCAGTTCAGTACTCTCAGCACGGACGCTTGACACCACAATCTTGAATATGTTTCCCTAAACTTCGTTATCGTTCCCCATAGGGCTTGTCAGTGTAAGCTTCCTGTCCAGTGTACCCCATTATTTCAACTAACGTTACCTGGAGCTTTTCTTGGAGCCAGTGCTGTCCACCTTGATCCATTCGTCACAAATCATCGTCGCTACACGGTAGTGAATCGTCGGTGTCCAGCGGCACATTTCTACCTCCTTCCCAGGGGTCCGCGATTGACATCATTTCTATCTACTTTCCTTGTTGGTTTGAAGTATTACCCTCTGGCACTACCATCATTCCCTCTGTATGTTTAGTGAATTGCACTGGATTCATTCGCACTCGTTATTGTTCGCTGTGTGGCAATCCTTGTACATCTGCTTACTACATCATGATCATGACGTGATTACCGGGCATTGTTCTTGGACTTCATGCTTTGCATATCCCTCTTGGTCAAATTAAAACCACTTCACTCCCTACGTAGTCTGTGAACCCTTTGGTGGCTGTAGCATCATGACTAGCCCAACTGGATGATCAGTTTCTGTCATTTCCGTTATTTGTTGGATTCCTGGCAGGTGTTTCTGAGACGTTAGGAGATGGCGAAGTTTACATGGAGGACGATCTCAATGAAGCTGATCCCGCCGCCATGGACACAGATCCCTTGTTGAACGTATCCACCCCCTCCCACCGTGCATTGGCTGTGTGCTTCGTCGGGCTTGTTGGCCTAACCACTTTCTATTCCACTTTGCCCGCCTTCCCTGAGTCTCCTCATGCGATGCCTTATCCCTCCTCACGTCGTTTGCTTGTATTCACACCCTCGGAAGCTCCAGAAACCGTGGCCACTCACTCGTCGTATCAGGAGGATTGGCACCCCCCATTCTTGCCCGTAAGCTATAGATTATTAGTTTTTCTCATTGTTTATGTCCCTCGAGCTCTAGGTTCACTTATTGTCCTAGCGCTTCCTCCTGATTGCTCATTCCGTTTGGTATTATCAGAGGGTATTTCATATTGTTGCTTCGAAACAGTCGTCTTTTATCAGAATCGTCGAGTGGTTAGTTGCGTAGCAGGGAACAATTTTACCATTCTAACTGGAGCAAGAGGCATTATTCTTCTATGGGCCTCCTTGTCCGCTGGACAACAGATAAGGAATTTGGGCTTGAAGTCCTGTACCATCTCAGACTGTTGAATCAGGGAACATGTCAGGAACCATGTTTGTATCGTATAGGACACCACTACGCTTATTTGGAAGCTTTCGAAACTGTCTTTCCGCCTACAGAAGTTCAGTTAACAGAAGGTCTTTGGTGTGAGACATGTCTACTGCCTGTTTATCACAATCACAAGAGGGATCGAAATGTCTAATGACCAGCCAAATGCAACATGTATGCTCCTCAGCTTCTACCTCAGCTACTTGGGTAACCCAATGAGTAACTTGGATTTCTGTTCTCGTTTGGCGCTTTGACTTTGCTGATCTCCCACCCCCCGATAAATCGTGCAGTTACTATTTAACCCATAGATTCGTAAAAGGTACGGTGGCTAATCCTCGTGGTCAATCACGTGGCAAGGCAGCGTCCGCCCAGTCTGTCCTGTCCTTTTGTCCCAAGATGGTCGTATCAGCGGGTACCGAATGGCTAACGTAATTAGACTGAACTTAGCCTCACTATACTGCAGGTGGACTGCAGGCTTGTTATCCTGTAGGTGAATGAACTCAAATGCGAGTGAAGAGCTTCGTATTTTTAAGCTTTTCTGGATCCGACCACATCCTTCTGAATAACATCCAGTGAAATGACAAAATATTCAGAAGATTCAGTTGGACTCCGTAACTAAACTAGCAGCCGGTTAGGATGGCCCATATCTGACTCCTGGTGATGGTTTTACAGGCGACGTATTCAGTTCAGTTCATTCTGTAACTCCGCACTAACTGATCGCTAAGTAATAACGAGTTGGTAACGTCTCAGGACTCCGATAAAACAAGATATCATATTTAAAACACCTGGGTTTATTCTCCAAAGCTGAAGACTTCACTGCGTTGAAGTGGCGCGAAAATCCAAACCACTTGTTCGTCTGTAAAAGGATCGCATGAGGAAATCCCTCAACTTGATCGCTTTCCAAAAGATTCAACCAAGCTGTTCTCTCTGTAGGAATGAAACACGCTTCCGCTAACAGGTTCATCGAACTGGCCAACCAGCCTTCAAGTTGAGTCGATTTATCTCCGTTTTATGCTTACCCAAGGTGAAAAGTTTATTTATGGTATTTGATTGAGACTAAATTACTGGTTTTAAGTGGAAGCGCTAAACTCAATGCCTGTTACATGTTTCTGGCCTTCTATGGGCATTTGGATACTACCTAGCTGGCCTAGGCTATCGGCCCCATCGATCCACACGGTGAATGGTGTCTGCTGTGCAACATCAGCCTTCTACCGTTTCCATTCTTTACTGCGAGCTTCCTGTGGGGTGGTGATTACCCACCCGAATTCCTACAGAGCTGAGCAGAACGTCCACTGTCAGACGTGGCTGCTCCAAAATGGCCATGTGGCTTTCTACGTACGTACAGTTAACATATTGCCTTTGGTGCGTTTTACAACAGTTCCCTCATTCACTTTACCATTCGCCCATCCTCCAATGCCTGTCGAAAGTTTGGCTTGTCATGCTGTAGTCTGCCGTGAATGAGAGTTGGTGATAAGGTCATACGGACAAAATGCTATGAACCTGTGTGTGTGTGTGACCACACGACTGATAAAGTCTTATCAGGATTTGTGAACCTGAAAGCTGCACACAAAGTGTGCAGAAACAGTCAGAGTTAATGTTGAACGCGATCGATAAGGTTTGCGTTGGAATCCAGCCTACCTGTCAATCTTACCTTAGTTGAACCACGTTCAGTTGCCTAATTCTGACTGCCACGTCACATGCCAGATTAATGGACTTTTCTCATCTGTATCGAAGGTTCAGTTTGTTGCTTCGGGATCTTATTTTCCGTGGTTGTATTCAAGTAAACTTTTCTGGTTGCAAAGAGACGTCTTGTTTGTACTATGCGGCCGTTTTTACAAGTGTTTTGGGCTTCTTATGTCATCTAGAGGCGAATAATCTTTGCTGTTAGATCCGTTTCTTTTTTGCAAATTTTCAATCCAGTCCTGAACAGTCTCAACCAGTTGACTTCTCGTTTGGTTTATTCATTGGCTTTTATCCTTTATCTGCTTTAGGGGGCCAACGCTAAGATCGGCTACATGCTCGGCTGGATCTCGTCACTTATGTATTTCGGTTCGAGGTTTCCGCAAATTTTTAAAAACGTAAGTGGATTGTCCTGTTTGTTGTCGGTGGGTCCTGTGGGATCAAGGATAGGCCAAAGTTCGCACGGTTTTTTGCAGACAAATGAGACCAGAGTCTACTAGACCCGTAGGTCTGTGTATCTGGTAAAGACACAACGGTTCGAATAAACCGGAAGTCCACTAACTTGAATTGTGTTTTTATCAAATGCTTTGTCCTGATGTCAACCAGCACGACACCAAATGGGTTCACAGATCCGATCCAGAATTCTCACCAGTTATATCAAACTCCCTAAAATACATCCACCTTAAGCCGTTAAATGAGGTTCTTTATTCTGATCAATGACAAGTTTTTTTTACATTCTTACGTGAGTGTTTACTTTATGGCGACCGAATACTGAGGCTCACTATGAAGCAAGCACAGTGAGATTCGCCACTTGACCCAGCGACACACACCGAAGGGGTTAGATACCGTCATCCCGAACATGCCCTATATAGCCCTTATTAATGACATCACGTGCACTGGTAATGCAGGTATGTACTTTCAACTACCTCATCATCATCATCATCATCATCATCAATGACAGCAACATCAGTGTTGGCACTGATGCTTCACTGACGTACAACCATAAAGTTCGTTTAGTTATATATACATTATATATATATGTATATAATTGTATTAAAAGCCCTACAGTGAAGAGAAGAGAAAAACAGTGGGTGAGGGAGGGGACCTAGTGCTGGCCTATGTCAAGCATACTGAGGTGCCTACACCTCCAACCGCTCAATCA